GGCTACTTAACATCCCAAAAGATGATGCTGTCAAAATGCTGCACTCAACATGCCAGCAAATTTAGAAAACTCTACAGTGGCCACTGGATTAGGGAAAAAAAAAAGATCACTTTACACCCCAGTCCTAAAGAAGGGCAATGCCAAAGAATGTTCAAAATACCAAACAATTGCATTTAAGGTTATCCTTAAAATTCTGCGAGCAATTCTTTCACAATATGTGAACTGAGAATTACCGGAAGAGCAGGCTGGTTTTTGAAGAGGCAGAGGAACTAGAGACCAAATTGCCGACATTTACTGGATTATGGAGATGGCAAAGGAATTCCAGAAAAATATCTACTTCTGCTGCATTGACCACACTAAAACCTTTGACTGTGTGGATCGCACGACTTGCCACAGTGCTCAAAGAGATGAAAGTACCAGGTCATCTTACTTGTCTCCTTAGGAACCTGTAAGGCAGGCCAAGAAGCAACAGTTAGAACCGAACATGAAATCACTGATTGGGTTACAATTGGAAAAAGAGTACAACAAGGCTGTATATTGTCACCTTATTTAACTTATATGCGGACTGCAACATGAGAAATGCCAGACTGTATGCATCAAAAGCTGGAATTAAGGTTGCCAGGAGAAGTATTAACAATCTCTTATATGTAGGTGATATCACTCTGATGGTAGAAAGTGAAGAAAAATTAAGAAGCCTCTTGATGAGGGTGAAAGACAAAAGTATAAAAGCTGGCTTGAGGCTTAGCATCATAAATACTAAGATCAGGGCAGCTAGGTAGTACAGTGGATAGAGCACCAGCCCTGGATTCAGGAGGACCTGAGCTCAAATCTGGCCTCAAACACATAATACTTACTAGCTGTGTGACCCTGGGCAAGTCATTTTACACCATTGCCTAAAGAAAAAAATAATTGGCAACTGGTCCCATTACTTCCTGGCAAATAGAGGGAGAAGATATGAAAACAGCAACAGATTTTATATTCTTGGGCTCGAAGATCACTGCAGACATCAATTATAGCCATGAGATTAAAAGCCACTTGCTCCTTGGAAGGAAAGCTATGGCAAATTTGGACAGCATACCAAAAACAGAGACATCACCCTGCTGATAAAGATCCTTATAGTCAAAGCTATTGGTTTTTCACTAGCTATGTAGGGCTGTGAGAGCTGAATGCCTGAGAATCAATACTTTTGAATTGTGGAGAGGACTTTTGAGAATCCCTTCAAGAGCAAGGTGATCAAATCAGTCAATACCTAAAGAAATTAGTTCAGGCTATTCACTGGAAGGTCAAATACTAAAGCTGAAGCGTCACTACTTTGGCCACATAATGAAAAGCCAGGACTTATTGGAAAAAAACCCTGATGTTGGGAAAGATTGAAGGCAAAAGGAAAAGAGGACAGTGGAGGATGAGATAGATAGATAGATAGTGTCATGGAAGAAATAAACGTGAACTTAGACAGACTTCAGGAGATAGCAGAAGATAGAAGGGCCTGGCATTCTGTGGTCCACGGGATCATGAAGAGTTGGACATGACTGAATGACTGAACAACAAAAGAGCTATTTGGAAATTACGAGGAAATTCTGATTCTTCTATACTAGACAAATGACAAAAAACATGTCATTTATATGTAACCAATTTTTTAATAATTTTTTCTTTTTATTTCCATTTATCATAGCCTTATTTGACAGATTAGGTCTCAGTGCTGGGTGATAAAATGAACTAGTCATCTAGTCTAATCCTATCATTTTACAAATGAGGAAATAGAGACCCAAGAAAGTTAAATGACTTGCCCAAGGTCATACAGGTAATAAATTTAAATCCAAGTCCTGTGATTCTACAGTGTGTGTTCTACAACACCATGAGATGATGCAGAGGAAGTGTGATATAAAGAACACTGCAGCTGAATTCTTGTCCAGGCATAGCCAAGAATAATAAGTAAATTACCTGGAGGTGGTCATTTCAATTCTCTGAGCCTTTGTATTCTTATTTGTGAAGTGCTAGATGCTGTTCCCTTTTGTGTCTGACATTCTCTGAGTCCCGATACTACAAGGCACATGACATTCATAGTATTTAAAGTATTACCATTAACAGTAGCAGTTGTAAAGTGTTGTGATTTATGAAGTAAATGCATTAGGCATTTTATAAGATTTAGGTTCATGTTTTTCTAGTTGTATGACCCTGGGCACTTGAGTCTCCTCTCTCCGTGCATTGGGTAACTCTCTAAGATGAGAAGCTGCAGAGAACATCCTGACCTGCATGGGCAGAAGGAGTTTCCTTACCAAAGAGTTCCCAATACCAGTGAAATCAAAGGTCCATTCCCTATCCCCATCCTTTACAGGATTATACCAAATGCATATATGCATACCATCTTTTCAATAGCATGTCTATCATATCGCAGGATTTAATGAAAGCTCATATGTACATAGCACATTAAGGTTTACAAAGCATTTTTCCCACAATACTGTAAGGTAGGTAATATGATTAACATTATTGTCTAGCAGATTAGGAAACTGAGGTATGGAGTGATTTTAACAATTTGTCCACAAAAATTTAACAATCTGCGTAACCGGAAAGTGACTTTGGGGCAATTCAAATTCAGAGCTCCTAATTCCAAGTCCTGCCCATCTAGTGTCTCATACTACAGCTCATTTAGAGCTGGAAAGGGACCTTGGACATCATCTAGCACTCCAACCCTCTCATGCCATAAATATTTGTTGTTTAGTTGTTTCAATCATGTCTGACTATTTGTGACCCCTTTTGGGGGTTTTCTTGGCAAAGATACTGGAGTGGTTTGCAATTTCTTTCTCCAGCTCGTTTTAGAGATGAGGAAACTAAGCAAACAGGGTTAAGTGATTTGCCCAGGATCACACAGCTAGTAAGTGTCTGAACTCAGAGGTTAAACCACAGAGCACTGTTGAAGCTCACGTCCTTCAACTTAAAATCTAGTGACCTTTCCAGTACATTGTCCTGGCTCTAAGTGTTTATCAAACCAGGCAATTCTCTTCAAATGTCCTTTGCCATTTTTTGGCATGTTAGCCGACAAAGGTCATTACATCCATGATTGTTTTGCTGGAGGTGGGAGGTGCTACCCTACAAAATGTGGTAATAAGCATTACAACTGCAAACTAGAGTTGAAAGCCTAGATATATAAACAGTACAGTGTGTAGACACCTATGCTTTCCTAGAGTTTTAAGGATACCTTCAAATGCATCTTCTAAGAAGACATTGAACAGAATAAGAAAATTAGAATTAAATCAATATTAACAAATATCACAAATATTTGCTGGATGGGGGGGGTTGGCACAGGGGAAAAGCTTATCTAACTTCTCCAATTCCAATGTCTAATTCCAGTGTTCTCTCCCAATCTTTTTGTTTAGGAAACAGTAAGGAAAAGAAAGAGATTAGCTAACAGTACCAAATGAAGCATGCCGGCTACAACTTAGAATCATAAAATCATTGGACTCTGTGTCTATATGTATTGTTGGACATGGTATCATTATCATTGGACTCTGCAAAATGTTATTTTAGAATCATGTTGCTGAGTTGTTTCTGCTGGTGCTAAAATAGTTTTTAATTACTATGGTTTTTATATTACTTTAATATTATGTCATATTACTTTATTAAGTTATTTTATATATTATATATAATTACTTTAATATTGTGGAGGGAATTCTGATTTTTTATAAAAATCTAATCTATCAGTATATTAATTACACATATCATACCGATTATTATAAAAATCAGAATTCCCTCCACACTGTATATAGTAAGGGTAAGGTCAGAGAGAAGTGTGGACCTACAGTTTTGTTGGTCTAAGCAGCTCCCAGTGAGAAATTTCCTTGACAACTTCAGGTTGGCACTGTCTCTGGTATTTCTAGTCTTAGAGCATGCTAACCAGACTTGCCCAGTGACAGACAGCCAATATGTCGCAGGTTGAAAACATGCTACTGAAGTGTTTTTGCAAAATCAGTGCTTACATATTTGCTTAAAGAGTTTAGTTGTCAATTCAAGACTTGGTTAATGTCAAGTAGAAGAAAAACAATCTTTCTGCTTGGTTAGTTGCCTTACACATTGGCTCCCAAGATCAGCAAACCCAATTTACCTGTTAAGTATAACCAGAAAAACTGACACTCTAGAGCTAAGCTGGATAAAAACCTTTGTTCATTTTCAATGTAGGTATTACTCCTGCCCACTGAGGAACAGAAGCATTCTTTTTTGCCAGTCATGTGTTTTTGAGGCATATTGATGTCATTTTTAGAGAAATGCCCCTGGAATTAGGAAGACCAGGTTTAAGATTTGACTCTGATATTTACTAACTGTGACCATAAGAAAATCAATTGGCCTCTCAATGTACCAAGCAACACTCTGATACCATCAGTTGTGGGCAAGTAACCATTGTGCAGCAGTAGAGAGCAACAGTTTCTTACATGACTGAAATCCCAGATCTGACCCCAGTTGCCTGCACATTAGGGATCTAAAAAATATCATATGGCAGCGTAGGAAATCCAATAGTGGGCTCAAAATAATGTAATATTTAAAATTACATTACAACATATATTAAATTAATGTAACATACTCTGTCATTTTATATGTGAACCTAATATAATTTTACATATGAGCCTTTCTTTTGAATTCTGTTAATGTTGGTGCTCTTGGGAGTGGAGAAGTCAGTTTCTATGAGACAATATTGAGTATAATAATGGCAGGTAGATGGTTTTGTTTCCTGAGCCCAGTGATGGAGGGACAATCCAATAACATGAGCATGGCTGTGGTAAAACTCAGACTGGGTCACTGCAAAATCTGTAAGCCTCATGAAAGCCACCTCAAATTTTGATTTTCATTTTAAATCATCATTATTTTCTTCATGCAGCTGGGATAATCTTGTTAATTTACTTGGAATATTGATGGGGACAAATTCTTAATGTTGAGTGATTTCTTTTTAAAAATCTAAAGGTAGATTTGGTGACTTTTTCCTGAATTTGCTACATTATTTGTCTTTGCAGAGTCACAGGCGGTGAGCTCTTCGAGGACATAGTGGCAAGAGAATATTACAGTGAAGCAGATGCCAGGTAAGTCACTCCTTCATAACACCCATGTTTACATTTGGCCTTTGGAATCAAATATTATTTGTGTTAACATGGACAGAATCATCTCATACTTGGTGCCCTTGAGAAAGGATATTGAGATACCTTGGCCTTCTGTCACCATTAATGTCTCCCTGTGGATATCTTTTTACCTTTTTTGAGGGGAAAAAAAATCCTTTGGCTCTATAGTTAAATTGCTGCTCTCATTAATGGCTGTAATCCAGCCTCTTTAGGTGCATGCTTAAACAGGCCTCTAAATTCCTTCCCGCTCTATATCAATGTGTGAGCCTATGTCCTTATCTTGAAATCCTGGCACAGTGAGGACTACTTATCCCTCCTCCTCGTCATTAAAAGTGTAGTTAAGAAAATGTTCTTATTTGTACATGCACGTGCTCTTCACATGGTTACCACATAGAATAGGATGTATGTTGACCTGGCACATGGGTTAACATGAATTCTTTTATATTCAGTAGCTATGGGTGACAACAGACGATAGCTTATTTTATTCCACAAGCAAACACTTGTATGTGTGTGTGTGTGTGCATGCACACACATGTACATACATGCACTCCATTTAATAATTCAAACTTCTTTTTCAAATTTAACTCCAATTTGCTTTTTAAAGTTGGAGAAGGAATTGACACTACTTAGAAATATTTTACAGGACTAATTAAATACAACCACCACTTAATTTTTTAAATATGACATTTTTACAATATTAACATGGTCAAATGAAATTTCCCAGTAATAGACAATGGCTTAAATGGGGTATCAGCTTTTTGTTTGTTTGTTTTTCCCAAACAAAACAAATAGAGCATTATCATCATCACCACCACCAAAACCAGTTTTGGAGATAACCATATGCCTGCTTGCTATTGGAAAAAAATAGAAAAGACAGCTAATTTCTTAAAAATTTTGTCTTAGAACACTTTATTAGGCAAATCCCATCAGTGGTATTTCAATCAATAAATATTTATGAAGCATGTACTATATACAAGGCACTGTGCTTTGAGTTAATAGAAAATTTAGATCAGAGACAATTCAGAGTATAAAAGACAATTGTCTCTAGAACTCGGACCATTCAGTTTGAGTAATTTATAGTGAGCATTAACACTTAAACTGATACTTAAACTAAAAAAAAAACAACAGAAAAACAAAACATTCCTACCTTCCATACATTTGCCATAGCCAGTTTACACTGAAATTGCATCTCCTCCTTTCATCTCAGAGGTGGGAAATGTTCTGAAATTTTTCTTTATCATCACCGTATGTCTGATTAGAACAAAGAATCATTCCCATGAAGCCAGAGGCCTTCATACATATTTCATCCTTCAGCATTAAAGGTAGTAAATTTTTGTAGGAGAAGTATAGTTAAGGCGCAAAGAGAGGAGACATTTTCTTCCCCCATCCCAGTATAAATCAAATTTGTAGAAGACTGGCCTGGAAAGGTTTCCTTTTATTTTTCTCCTATTCCTCATGGAGTAGAGAACTAAAGAATATTTTTGCTGGTAAGAAAATAGAGGAGAAATCTCTTCTTTAAACCCTGTAATTCTCTAAGACTCACTTTTGAGTATTACTTCACATAAGAAGGAAAAGTCTCTAGTGTCCTGTCTTTAAAGCTTCGACCTAATCCTCAGAAAAGATCATCAAACAACGCATTGTAGACAGGCAGGCTCAACCAAAGGCAGCCTTTAGAAATAGGCCTGTAAACTGGTTCCCACCCACATTTTGACCCCAGATTTCATGACAAATGTATCTTTAATGTGCATTATTCCTGATTTGCTTTATTATTACCTATTTTTTTGAAAGTATCTCTTATACCTATACGCTCATTAAAAAAGGTAGTTTTATATAAAGTTGCATTAGCATTAGACTAAGAAATAAATTTTGGAATCATTTACCAAAAGAATCATACATTAGTTTTTAAGTAATGAGATGAGCACTGTTCAGAAAGTGATATAAGAATATATGTAGCCTTAAGTGGGAATAGCCATCCAAAACATTAAATAATTGCAATCACTTATAAATGCTGTATAATTTTTAAAAATAGCTATCTAGAACACAAATGCAAAGATGTTTTTGTTGTCCTATTAACTGAGTTGCTTTTAAAAGATTATGATCAATTTTTTTATTTTAACTTGGATATGTGATTGCAACATAATTTTTTAAAGGTACAATTTGCCCAATAGAAGTACAATTTTATGCATTCATTGAATTAATGAATTTTCAATTTTATCATTTTAAATGAAACATATTAGATATGTGACCTGGAAAAGTCACTTAACCTTTTAATGCTGTGGGCAATGCTTTGAGACAGTAAGTAGCAGAGAAGATACCAACCTTCCTTGAAGGAGGAGCTTCCTCACCTGGAAGTTTCCCCTATAAATGAAATCACAGGTCCTCAGTCTCTAATCCTACCCTAAATAAGAGAAATAAAGATGGCTCCATCCCCACCTACACACGAGCTGCATAACAACATTTACAAATGTGACTGACATGTTCAGCATGCCAGTGTATTAATTGGTGGCTAATGGCAGATACGATATAGATGCCAGTCAGTGATTTTCCTCCTACTTTAATTAGCATACTATTTCTTACCAGTGAGCCTTTGACAAGTACAGAACCAATCATGGATTTTGACAGAGTAATAAGCAAGTTTTCTTTTGCTGTTACTGTGAGGTTTATGACATTTAGCATCTACGGTTGCTCTCTTAGGTTTTTATTAGTTAAGCGTTTATAAAATAAAAAATAGAAGCCATTCCTCCCCTCCTTCCCTTTTTCATAGCCCAGAGCCATTAGGGGTGGGTCGAGGGGGAGTAGGGATGGGGAATTAATGAGCAGAGCTTCTTTGACCAAAACTTGACCTGCGCTGTTTGGTTTCTCCCCTAACCATCTATAAAAGCGCCTTCTTTCAATTCAGAAAGATGAGTACTTCATTCCCCGCCCCCTTTTATTTCACCTTTACCACCACTTCATCCATGTGTATCCTCCTGTTTTAAGACCTATGTTTCCTTGTGACCTCAGATTTTAAACAGTTTACTCTATGCGTGAGAAATGCCAATTTCTAATCTGCCCATCACATCGCAATTTCCCAGGATTCTTGTTATGGGAAATTTTAATAAAATCTCTTTCTTTGGAGAAAAAAATATGGTTTCTCTACAGATATGTACATACTAGTTGATTTGTATGCAATGAATGAAGAGCACAAATTGTTTTATCTGATAATGTCACAAATTCTCTGTCTAGTTGTCTTTTCTTTTTGTTAGATCCAGAAATTGCTTTATTTAGCATAATCCAATCCCAGTTTGGTGTAAAATTCAAAGACTCCTGAAGAAATGTAATTTGTGTTTGTTTGTTTTTTCCTTTTAACTCCCATTTTATTTTGTATTCAATGTGATTATGTGCCTTTAAAATGTTCTCCCTTCCATTCTGCCCTTGTATCTTTGCAGTCATTGTATACAGCAGATTCTAGAAAGCGTAAATCATTGTCACCTAAATGGCATAGTTCACAGGGACCTGAAGGTCAGTATATGGAGCCTATAAATCTGCTAACCAGAAGCTTTCTGGGGAAGGGCAGAGGGTGGGTATCTACTATGGACCCCTTGCCTTCACCCCTTCCCCCCAAAATGACTAAATGATAAAAAAAAAAGCATGATGTTTCTTTCCAGTTTGCTCATCCACAGGCTAAGCATGCATCACAGCAAAAGGAAACTTTTTTTTTAGAGAAATTAACCTTTAGGTTAACCATTAGAAATGGAACACAACCAATTGAACTTCTGCAGTACAATCCAGGGCAAGGAGACGTTTCATCAGCTGTCCAGCATTGACCTAGAGATGCGCCTGGGCTGTGATGTATGCCTGCCTGTAGATTTAAACACCACTTCTGTTCTGAGACCATGGGTTACAGTAGCTGAACAACCGGCCACACATTTGCTCCTTTTGAGCCTGAAAGACCTTGTCAGGCAAGAGATAATAATTGCCAACTAAATGAAAGAATGGGAAGTTAATCATCTACCTAAAATTCATTAATTATGGAGATTTTCACACATGATTGGAAAAATTGGGGAGAACTAAACTTATATCTCCCAGAACACTTTTTTTTTTCCAGGAACAAAATTATGCATTTGGGTTTGGTTTTTAATTTGATTTTTTTTTCCTAAAGAGCTTTTCCAGTGGATCTGAGCTGCTCCGTGAAATCAAATGCAGCCCACATTACTCAATTATTTGATCACGAAGCCTGGCAACACGTGGCAGGCAGGATCTGAATTCTTCTGACTTGGTGCCTACTCTAGCTGAGCAATATGTGTAGACATCTGGAGGTGATTTCTTGCATCCCCAGTCGTTGGCTAGTTTTATACTTTAACCCAGTCTCTGTGAGGGTAGACAGATAGTGAGTGTAAGCTTGGAACTAACACACGCCCCCTGGTGTTTGCATGCAGTCATTGCATTCAGCAGATCCTGGAAGCTGTGCTTCACTGCCATCAGATGGGGGTAGTCCATCGGGATCTTAAGGTGAGTAATGCCGTTGGAGTAGATATGACACCACACAGTTCCGAACTACTGTTCAGCTGCAATTATGCTCATAAAGGCAAAAAAAAGAGAAGAGAAACATGATTCATTCCATGACTTTATGAAAATACTTTGACTCACTACAACCCACCCTTTACTCCATTCCTTTGGTGACGCATACTTGAGACTTACATAAAATCTCTTTTTATCGAAAGTAAAATAACATCCTGCCATTGGCAAGAAATAGGATGATCTCTCCTTTCTTCTCTGAATGGGCAAAACCCTTGAATCGTCTTCCTTCAGGTTAGGGAGCTTAATTATCTGCCACTTCTAACTGAGAGCTGCTTTTGGTTGTATGTTCAAACAAGTTTTACTGTCTGTGACAAGTGAATTATTTTGTCCACTTCACCCGCCCTCCTGTGGCACTGAAGATTAGAAGCCTGCCTTCTTTACCCACTAGAGTATGCCATTGCTCCAAAGGACACTGTTTATGTCACACAATGAAAACTAGAGATGGCTTACAATGACCATTCACCTAATACAAAGGTTCATGAAGGATAACCTGTGAGTTTTATTGTATACTTTTTGCCCATTTCTGTCCTCCCATAGTTGAGATCTGTATGTGGTGTTAGTTCATGGAAATAATGAATCAGATTGGATTGCCCATTTCTCTTTCAAATGATATCAGTTCAATGATTATACAGATTACAGGACTAGGGACTTTAATGCAGACAAATATAGGATAAGTTCACATATATTATAGGTTCACTTCAGAATATCATAGTATTCTGGGCATGGAAAAATGTGGAGAGAATGTGGCTGAGCCTCCTTGTGAAACTCTGGAATTTTTTTGGCTCTCTTTTCAAAAAGTTGGCAACTGTGATTTGGAATGACAGTATTTCTATGTGTTTAGCAGGGATGATAATTAACGGATAAGGTTCATCTAGAGATCTCTGTCATTTCTCTTCCCTGTTCAGTGTCTTAATCGGTGACTCAACATTGATGACATTCTAGTCAAATCTATGATTGAATCAAAACTGAGAGAAAGGACTGACATAGTAAGTGATAGAATGAGGATGCAAAAAGTTTGTGAAAGGCTAGAATGATGGGCTGAATCAAAAAAAGATAAAATTTAATAGAGATAAATGTAAAGTTGATACAAAAGAAATTGTTCTATGAATATCAAAGAAGCATAATGATTGAATAAAAGTTAAGGTGAAAAGGATCTATTGGTCATAGGCTACATTTGTATGATGTGACAGACAGAAAAATCAACTGCATTTTGGACTACACTTATAAGTATATACTATACTATGAATTTTCCTATACTCTCCTACTATACAGTACTATATGATGCTACTATACTATTGGGATGTGTTATAATGAATTGTGCTATTCTATGTTATAGTACATTAATGCTATAGAAGTACAGTGTCCAAACTGAGGAAAGTAATTGTACAAATGGTTAGCCCACATCTGTGAACTCCTTGAGAGCAGGGACTGTCTTTAGCCTCTTCTTTTTTTTTTTTTATGCCCATTGCTTAACACAGTGCCTGGCATATAGTAGGTGTGAGGAGTAGTTGATTGGAGTACTATATTCAGTTCCTAATATCTCACTTCAGGAAGAGACGTTGATAAACTGGAGTTGGTTAGGAAAGGGCAGCTTTGGTGATTAGATTTAAAACCATTTTGCAGAATTGTTAATTGAAGAAACTGGGGATGTTTAGCCTGGAGAAGAAAAGACTTAGGGGGATTCCTAATTTTTTTGTCTTTAAATATTTGAAAGATGAACTTATTGAAGAGTGAAGACGCTGTCCATCTGAAGGTAGTATAGCACAGCTTCTTCAGTGTTGTTTGTTTGGGACCCCAAGTGCATAATTAGCACCGAACGATGAATGTTACAGCAAGTTAGGTTTATGGTTTAATACAGGGAAAATTTTTGTCTAGCATTTAGAGCTGTCCACAAGTGGAATGAGCTAGCTACCTTAGTAAATATGTAAAGATCTTCATGCGGTCATCAGAGATCTTCAAGATACTATAGAATGGTGATTGTATGAAGCTTTTCTTTGTCCTCCTCATCTGTAATCTTTCTTCTGAATTTGCAATGATGAGAGCCCCACTGAGGATTATGTTGAAGTCATACCCTATGAGAGATTAATGCTTGAGTTATAGGTAGACTGTATGACCTTTAGAACTCCCTTCCAGCTCTAAAATTTTATCATTCTACAATGTATTTTCTCAGGTAAAGACACATAAGTCAGGTAGCATTGGGTTGAAGAGTTTGTCTTTTCCTTATTGAAGTTAATTTGTCATCAACAAGGTTAACAGGAAGGAGAAGTTTTATGGTATGGATGATGGTTTTTAAAATTTTTCTTTTTTTTATTGTGAATTTGATAATTGTCAGCAAACACAGACATCAATAATCACAATTTTATATGCAGTCCTCGTGTTCTATGTAGACTGAAAAGTTTGTTTGCTGATTATTGTCAAGTTCATAATAATAATAATTATTAAAAAAAAAAAAAGAAAAAAGAAACAGAACCAGAACTAAGTTCTCATCCATAGTAACCTTATTCATGAGGAACTAACCTGGAGAAGAAGAGGAATAAAAGAAGTTCTAAGCAGTGTTAGTGACCCAGTTGAGCTTAGATAATGTGAATTTCTAGTGGACCGTGCCAACATCATTTAATAACTTCCTCCAGAATACTCAGTAGTTTGGACAAGAAACAGGACATGAGATACTGCAAAAGGATAAGGAAGCAAAGTATTCATGGGTGGGGGATGAGGCTTGGTTGAACTAATTCACTACTTGGCCAAGACTGTGAAGAGAGGACCAAGAGAAGTCACTCACTCAACAGTTTATTGACCTCAAGAGTAGAGATTGATTTTACTCAAGAAGAAAACATCAAATGTAATCAGAATGCTTTCTAGGAAGAATAACTATAAAAAGTTGCTTTTTGTATCCCAAATGATTTTTCCCCTCAATGAGTAATCACGTTTTAGCTTCTATTCCTTTTCTCTCATTTTTGAGAAAACAGAGGCATAAGCATCTCCTATAAGTCTCTATGACTGTTTGTTAATTCTTCATTAACCATCCGCTTCATTCCCATGAAATTTACTGCTTGGATATGTTGTGTTTAGGTTAATTCAAGATTATTCTTTTAATAGAACTTCTTATAAACATTCTGGAGGTGGTTTTCTTCATGTGTCCAAGATCTCTGGCTCGTTGCTTTTCACACTGTATTTGGACATCCCCCTTAATGGCCACATGTGCCTTTATCTTCATGTAGCATTGTGTTAGTTGCTGTGGAAAGTGAGTTTGAAAGCTGTTTGAGGGCACGGACCATGACTTGTGTGAGCTTATGTCCCTAACTGTACCTCACACAGTATATGGGGAGTAGTAAACATTTAAGTAGTAGCTAAGTGAACAAAGTTGAATAAACACGGTCCCTATCTTCTAAATAATTTCAGTGTAAGAAAGATAAGCTAACAATAGCACAACATTTTATCCAATGGATAAGTAAATATATTGATTAAGATTCTCTACAAAGAGTATGTATTTTTGGAAAGTGGACTAAGTTTTAACTGAGGAGTACACAATGGCAGGACAGCTGACTTTACTGATGGGTGGACCTAAGAGATCTAGCAGACAGAATAGGGCTCCGGACAGGGTATATGACAGAAAAGAAAAACTCAAGTTGATTTTTTTTCCTGAAACCTCTTTCAGTCAAAGACAAAAATGTGGTAGTGTTCACAGTAATTGAAAAACTAGGCTTAGAGAAGATTATAGAGAAGAAATGAAAAATTATTCCTAGGTTTCATTGAAATTGCTCTAATATAGCCAAATTATGACATCTTAAAGACCCTCTACAAAATCTATAAAATCAGATGAAAAGGTAGCATGATTTAGCAGGAAGTATGTTAAATTTGGAGTGAGAAGATCTGAATTATCTTAGACAAGTCACTTTAGCTGTCTAGTACAATGAGGGGTTTGGATTCAATTTCCTCTATGA